TTCTTTTTAATAGCATTCCTCACTTTCTCTTTGAAGTTAAACATTACTGTTGTGGATTATTTTGGTCCTGAAAGAATATTTGATATGGTTTGGTCATGGTTAATTTTTGCTGAGTGGCCTTCCCAAAGAAACTCTCTGAACTGGCAATGTTATTTCTCCTTTTGTTGGCTTTCTGGTTAGTTTTTCCAATAAGTTGTCATTTATAGTGTCTAAAATGCAGTTTCGGCAACTCTCCTCGTAGTGGCCCCCATTCAGCCTGGCAGGATCTTCCTTTATCCCTCTGCTTTCTGCCTTCTTAGTCTCTCAGCACCCCCTCAATGTGGCTTATTTACCATCAGCACTCTGCTCACAAAGTTCCAGTACAGTACAATCACCGTGCACTTTTCTAAACATAGCTTTATTTGTTCAGATGTTTTCCATTGATTCTAACTCCTTACCCAAGTGTCCCTGATTTCTGTCCTGTCCTTTTAATCAGAATACAGTTTTCTTGCATTTATTTTTAAAGTGAAGTAGGTGATCCGTAACTGTGTGACCTTCTATACATCCCAGCTTTGGTCTGTAGCAATACACTGCACTCTGCCATCCACTGGGTTACTCCAGTCTGGCAGCTCTGCAACGAGGAGATGGGCAAGGAAGAAAATGACACAAAAATGCAGATATAGTTTAACTGTCCCTCTGCTTCCACAGGTTTTATTCATTCATACAGTAAGAACAACATGGAGCTGTCTCAGGGGAGTGGGGGGAAGGGTTTAGGTTGGATATCAGGGAAAGGTTCTTTCCCCAGAGGGTGCTGGGCACTGCCCAGGCTCCCCAGGGAATGGGCATGGACCTGAGGCTGCCAGAGCTCCAGGAGCGTTTGGACAGTGCTGCCAGGGATGCTCAGAGTGGGATGGTTGGGGTGTCTGTGCAGGGCGCGGGGTTGGACTGGATGATCCCAGTGTGTCCCTTCCAATTCAGGATGTTCTATTATTCTATGATTCTTTAATTTATTCTGCCTATTGGTACAGATCAAGCTCATTTTTGCAGCATTTTCTAAATATGGAAGCCAAGTTCACTGCTCTTACCTTAAACAAATGTAGGCAAATAAGAGCTGAAGGATCTAAACTGATTAAATGTTTAACATTATATTTCTTCTAAATGAAGGAAAAAAACTAGACTGAGGTATCTAGGCAAAGCAATACTCTAAAATCTTAAATGTAATTATATATCTAGCTATTTAGGTTTATTCTGGGCACCAGAAGAATTAGGGTGTTTATTTGTGTACTTAAGATATTTAGTGTTTCAGCGGGTGAGAGGAACCCAAGGACCAACAGGGGCTAGATCTAAACAGGATCTTGAACAAGAAAGACTAGAACCAGAGAAAAGAGCTGGTATTGTCAGCCTGAAAAGGAATTACGTGGCAGTTTGAGTTGCCTTAGAGATTGAATTTCTCTGCCGAAAATGACAGGCGGTCACGGTATCATTGTGCGTCCTGCCATGAGCACAGGGAGGAAGGAGCTCAGTGTTTGCTATAGGGAGAAACTCAGGATCTGGGGTTGAAGCTGACACAGCAGCTGAAACTGAAAAACGAGAGGTGAAACCCTACAAGAGTGCAAAAGCTTCCACGCGTGGCTTCAGGAGAAATAAAACTGAAGTACAGAAGTGTTTGGCAACGGACACATAAAGATATACGGGTTTGAAGCTGAAGGAAGCCTGGAATTTCTTTCAAAGAAAGATGCTTATGCTCACAGGTATACCTGCTCAAGCAAGAGGAAAGAGCTTTGAAGGGGGATTTCCAGCTCTAGCTTGATGTGGAGTCACCTCAATAAAGAAATTTTAATTAAGCAGGAAGTGAGTGTGTAAGAAGTGGGAAGCACAGTGCATCAGCAAGGGAACCCCAGGTGACACACGTGGCAATGCAGTGACATTGCCAGGAGTGGAGTTATGTACAGCCTTGCTGGGCACACTGAAGCAGGGAGGAGCAAGTCCTCAGGTGTGTAAACAAAAAGTAAATCCAGGAGAAAGAAACAAGGTCTGCTGCTGGAAGAATGAATAAGAAATAAGAGATAACAGACATGGGTGCCCAAATTAGTTGAATACATTGCAGTGGTTTGGATCAAGACAAAGATGAAAATCAAGTAATGGAAATTATTTCAAGTGTATTGGGAACAAGCTAAAAGAGCTTGCTGCAATAAAGGCAGGTTGTTGTTAACCTTATCAAAGAATAGATCACTTGAAATGAAAGGTCTAGTAATGAGTGTTATGTGGTACAATGCATTTAGCCACGAACGAAAACAAAACACAGAAGTTTGTGTTGGCACATGGAAAGAAAAGACTGGCTTTGTGACAGCCCAAGTGACAGAAGAGCCATAAAAACAAGTTTGAGAAACTATTGAAAGAAGCAAGAAACCTTCTGCTGCAAACTGGTATCTCATCTGTTGGAAAGAACTGAAGCAGAGAGGCTGAGTGTGGAGATCCGGAGTCACGTGTACAAACAGCTGAGGAAAGACAAAGGCCACCGTGAGCCCACAGGAGAGCACGGCTGTACAGAGGAGCATGCAGGGAACTAATCCGGGTGTCGAAAATGCTGCTGAGATGGAGACTTGTGGAATACCGCAGGTGCTTTTCCCGCTCCTGCTCGGCCTAGGCCAGAGCCCCGGGGCAAGGGGCGCTGCGAGGACCGGCCGGGGTCCCCCACAGCCCGGAGGTGATGCTGCACCTCCATCTCCCGGCCAACGGCTGAGCTGCACCACTCCCAGAGAGTCTGAAACTAGGGCACGGAGGGGATCTTATGCTACAGCCATGCTCTCCCAGAATCCTTTGTGTCCCAGGGTGATCCAGCACTCCTGTGAGCAGCAGTTTGTTTTAGGGAAAAAAACATGTCAGGAAAATCCTACCACTCTTAGAAGCTCCTATGATCTTTTAGCATCCAGGGTGGCCTGCAGCAGTAGAATATGACAAGCCCCCAGAAAAGATCCCAAAACACTTAACTGTGAGGGCAGGGACTGGACTTGTTGAGACAAGAATTAAGTTCTATTGCATTTGGGAATCCCACAGCAATCATCAGACTTCCTATCTTGAGGTATCCTGTGGTCTCTGGAGACCTCCACTCCTCAAGGCAGTTCCTCATTTCCTGCCTGTCCAAGCAGCTCCTACAAGCCCATCACATGTTGCAGATGTCAGGACATGAGAACACAACTCCTGCCAAGGCGAGGGAAGAGCAGGGAACCCCGAATTGAAATCAAACAATCACTTTAGGGTTGTTCTTTAGTAATTATTGATGAGCACATTCATCTCCATAAGCAATCTCATACCTGCCTACTTAGAGAAAGTTTTAACAACACAAATCGGGTAGCAATCCATCACTGGAATGTTAAAATCCATGCTAGGCATTCTGATACTCTGTGAATTAAAGTTATATGTGTTTTTTTTCTTTTCCTGCAGTTTCACCTGGCTTTGCAGCCAAGTGCACACTGGCCTGGTGACCCACTTCCGCGGGCAAATTGTTGCAGAGTTTGACAAGGAATTCCGATACTTGTATGCAGAGTCCAAAGCAGTGACCAGCTTCTGTGTGCCAGATCCCGGGACATGTCTCTCTTCTTGGAATACCTCAAAAGCTGACAACTGTCTTCTAAAACCCACTCAGGGGAATGATACTGAAACCCTGAGCCCTTCCAGCAGCCTTTCTAATGTGAGCATCAGGAGCATAAAAGTGTCTCCCTTTACAAAAAACTCCAGCTGCAGTGCACACCAGGAAAAGCAAGATTCCAGCTCTGATTCTGGCAATAAGAAGGGCAGAGAAGACACATTCCTGAAGCCCACTTGCCCTAAACAGCAAGAAGAACCACCAGACTCGTTGAACTGTCCTCCAAGTAAACCCACCCCAGCCTCATATCCCAAATCAAACCTGTTAACAGCAAGGACATTCGTGCAGCCAGAGCCTTCCTCCAATAAACCTGGTAACCAGGGGGACACTAAGGCCAACAGCAGCCACTGCTCCCTGCTGAGAGCAGGGCAGCCACTGCAGTCCCTATCGGAGGGTACCAGCAGCAATGGGACCAGCCTGAAGCAAAGAGCACCTGTGGCCACCTCCAGGGAGCTGCCAGCTGAAAATGAGAATGTGTTTTATGGGATGGAAAAGAGACAGAGCCCTGGACACGGCCAGTTTGACCTTTTCTCTCCATACAACCAGCTCAAACGGGATAAAAAGTCTGTAGTGCCTTGCTATGACAAGTTCCCAGAGGATGTGCTGCTGGAAAAGAGCCGTGCATATGGAGCAGAGAAGAGAATGACTCTGGGGCACAGCAAGCTGGACCTGATCACCAAGTACAACAAGCTAAAATCCAAACACATACACAGTCGTTTCGAGCTCTAACCTGGGCCTCGAGCTGGCCTCTGGTCTGATTTTCCAGGGGTTGCTTTTCCCCACCAATCATCACGCCTGGGGCTTGGAATCAAAACAGTAGTCTTGTTTCTGTTAAAAGGTGTCTAATATATGTAGATGACTGATTCAGACGAGATTAACAGCTGCAGCTCAAAATTTTCAATTACATAATTGCGGCAGGAGGAAGAAAAGCACATAAATAAAATCCACATGCTTTTACCCATTTGGGAAAGAACCATTTCCCCTCAAACTTACAGCAAAGCCATTGCTACAGCTGGAAACTGGCCACTGAGGTCTTCAGGGTGAGCCTTGGTTCTCTCCACGCTGAGCAATTCTTTTCCCTATATTCATATGGTGAAAATGAAATGGCTAAAGGCAGGAGGATATGAAAAATAAAGGAGTTGCTCTGCTGGAAAAAGCCGTGTTGGATCCTGGTGGGGGGTGGTGAGCGTGGCAAGGGCCGATCCCTCCTGGACTGGGGTCGGTCCCGCTCACTCCCTCAGCAAGTCCCGGGCAGATCCCGCCCCGCTTTCCCTCCCGGCCGCTTGGGGGCGCTGTCCCCAACAAGCGCGGCCTGTGCCGCTCTGCCCCGCGTGCGCCCCGCCGGAAGCGGAAGCAGCGGAGCCTCGTGGTTCGGAGCCACCGCGGCCCGTTCTCGTTCACGTTCCCAGTTCAGCGTCCTTCCCGGCCCCGACCCCCCAATTCCCGTTCTCTTCCCATTCTTGGACCCTGTCCGGTTTCTTTCCCCGCCCCAGCTCCGTTCCCATTCCCGTTCTCAGCCATCTTAGTCCCGCTCCCGGCTCCATTCCTGTTCCCATTCCCGGCCCCGCTCGCATTACCGTTCCTGTCATGGCGGTCCGCGCCAGCTTCGAGAACAACAACGAGCTGGGCTGTTTCGCCAAGCTCACCAACGCCTATTGCCTCGTGGCCATCGGCGGCTCCGAGAACTTCTACAGGTGAGGGGGCCCCGACCCGGCCCCGTCCGGCCCTGCCTGCGACCCCGCGGGGCCCTGACGCGGCGGTTTCTCCTTGCAGCGTGTTCGAGGGGGAGCTCTTCGGGACCATACCGGTGGTTCACGCCTCGATCGCCGGCTGTCGCATCATCGGCAGGATGTGTGTGGGTACGTGAGGCGGAGAAAGCCCCGGAAAGTTCGGGGGGTACGGGGAGAGGTCGCGGGTTCCGTCGGAGCCGCCGAGGGTTGTTCTAATGCTCCGAGTGAGGAGGAGGAAGGATGATCTTAAAGGTCTTTTCTAACTTGGCTGATTCTGTGATGGAAGTAGGAAAACAGAGACTCGCCCAGGAGCCGGGGTGGGAGGAGTGTTGGCTCTCGGGGCCAGAGAAGCTCCGCTGCTTCTCAGTGCCGGCCCGGGCAGGGGGAGGCATTACCGAATGTGGAAGGGAAGAGCCTTTCAAGTGTATGTGCTGGTGAGACCCTGTTAGGTTCGAGCAGCTTCTTGCTTATTTGTTCTTTTAACCATTCAGTCGTGCTGCCACAGTCATACAAACAGTAGCACTGTGCCTTTTGTAGGGCAAATGGCATCTACATGGAGAGTTCCTTGTAAAGTGTCTCACTGAGAGCCTTGGGCCTCCTTTGGTCCTGTTGGAAGAGAGAAGGGAATAAAGATAGCGCCATTCACCCACAATCTATGCTTCAGCCTGGTTTTTCCTTTCGTGTGCTGGTTATTTTTACATCTCCTGGGCTGAATTCTGGGCTTGGAAGGAATGCACGGAGCAAGAGCAGCTCAAGCCATGTGTGAACAGGAGGAAAGTGATAACACACCCTATGGAAACATTCTTTTCATTCTGTTTTATTTCCTTTTGTCATTTTAGGGAACAGACATGGGCTGCTGGTCCCGAGCAGCACAACAGACCAAGAGCTGCAGCACATCCGCAACAGTCTCCCAGATTCTGTGCGGATCCAGCGTGTGGAGGAGCGGCTGTCAGCTCTGGGCAATGTCACCACCTGCAATGACTACGTGGCTCTGGTTCACCCGGATCTGGACAGGGTACAGGGTTCTGGGACACTCCCACATTCAAAGTGAGACTGGGAAATGCTGCCCACGCTGCGGCTGGAATTGTTCTGCGCAGCTCAGCTGTGAGGAATGTGCCTGGGAGAAGGGAAGGAGTTGGGGGTCCTGTGTAGCATTGGACAGGACAAGGGGGCACAGTCTCCACTGAAAGAGGGCAGAGCTAGATGGGATATTGGGAAGAAATTCTTCCCTGTGAGGGTGGGGAGGCCCTGGCACAGGTTGCCCAGAGAAGCTCCAAGCCCCATCCCTCGAAGTGCCCAAGACCGGGTTGGACCGGGCTTGGAGCAACCTGGTCTGGTGGCAGGTGGTCCTGCTCATGGAAGGGGGTGGAATGAGATTAATTTTAAGATCCCTCCTACCTAAAACCATTCTGTGATTCAGTGATCATTGAGTGCAGTTTGCTTTGGGTGCATAAAATTGAGTGAATTAGAGTGCACAGGTCTAATAGGGAGCATAAGGAGGAGTGCAGTGAGGACCACAGAAGGAATTACAAACTACAGCTGAGTGAGCCAGAGCATGTCATAGCTGAAAGAGACCATGGATGTGTATCATTACAGGGGTCTGAAAGAAAAATAGAAAGCTCTCATATGTGGGTTTAAATAAGAATAGAGGAGACAAAGTCACTCCTGTTTTATGCCTGAGAACTGATACCTTAACAGCATTGAGAGAGATGTGTTGTGTGGCTGCAAGTCCTGACAGTGTTTGCTTCCAGCTTGTGCTAAAGGTGATGAAGAAATGGGACTTGGTGGCAGGAGTGCAAAGGGAAAAATAAGGGGATGGGAGAAAGCTTTGCACTATATGTTTTAAAAAGGTGTAAAAAGTAAAGTAAGATGGCTAGAGACAGAGAAATCAAAGTAATTCACAGTGAAACCTGTGGGGGTTGTTGGAGTTGTTAGAATTATGAGAAGCATAAGACCATTTTGTCCCAGTGGTTTGGGAGCAAAGAGGACTGATTTGCTGAGAATTGATGCAAGTGAAGTACTGCCTACAGAGAGGGGGATTTGGGCATTTCTCAGTAAAGGCATGAGGTTGTGTTTATAGTGACACAGGAAGCTGGGAACATGTGGAGTGTGGAGCTTGAATGTGTGTGTTATCATGGCTGGGTTGCAATGGTCTGTGCGGTGTGGGAGGCTCCCAGCTGAGGGCTGTGTGCAGGAACAGCTTGACTTCCCACTTAACAATACCATTTAGGAGAATTTATCTTCCTTCTATTTGCAGGAGACAGAAGAGATCCTGGCAGATGTGCTGAAGGTGGAGGTGTTCAGACAAACAGTAGCAGACCAGGTGCTGGTTGGAAGTTACTGTGTTTTTAGTAACCAAGGAGGAATCGTGCACCCCAAAACTTCAATCGATGACCAGGATGAGTTGTCTTCTTTGCTGCAGGTCCCACTCGTGGTAAGGCATTTGTGGGGTGTTTGCTCCTCCAATTCCCTCCCAACTCAGTTGCAATGTTTCTCCAGTTCAGGGACTCTCAGATACTGATTCTGAGTGGGAGGTGAGGAGAAGACTTGAACCAAGTCCTCCAGAGAGTTTCCTGTCTTTCCTGTCTGAATAAGGTGCACAGTGCTTTTAGCTGCCTTCTGAAATGTTGCTGTGCTGAGATTGTGCACACTGTGCCAGTGTTAAAAAAGATTAGGAAACTCCTGTGCCTCAGTTGGATGTGTGAATGCTCTTCTCCTTCCTGCTTATTGGATTCTCTTTCACTGAATTACACCAGTTTCTCACCAGAGAGTAAAGGCTGTTCATTTTATCTGGCACATTTAGAACTTTGCTGGTGGCAGAGTTCCTCTCTTCAGTGGTGTGAGCTGAGCCCCCCAGCAAAGACCTGTGCCAGGGCTGTGTGAGGAGCTCTGCCAGCTCCTGCTCACAGCTGCTGTGTCCCGGCAGGCGGGAACAGTGAACCGCGGCAGCGAAGTGATTGCAGCAGGGATGGTGGTCAACGACTGGTGCGCCTTCTGCGGGCTGGACACCACCAGCACCGAGCTCTCCGTCATCGAAAGCATCTTCAGGCTCAGTGAGGCTCAGCCAAGCACCATCGCCACCAACATGAGGGATTCCCTGATTGACAGGTAGGGAAAATCCACCTCTGGGCAGAATCGTGGTCAAAACAGGCAAGATTTTATTATAAAAGCAGCTGGTTTCACAGTTGATATATCTGCTTTAGTTATAATTTTTTCACTTCCTCTCCCCTTTTGTGGGTTACTGGCAGCAATTAGTCGTTGGGTTATGGAATGTTTCATTGCAATGAGAATCCTTTCTGTGAGAACTAATGTCTGTTTCAGCTGGCAGATTTTCTTTCCTAACTGTTCAGTGCTCAGCTATGACATGAATGCGTTTTTCTTAAAACAAATCTGGCTTTAAAAGTTAAAATACGAGTGACTTTGCTTGTCATCTTAGCTTTTGATCACTGTAGTTATTAACTGTTATTTCAAATGCTTGCTGTAACCATTTCTGAAGCCAGAAAGACTGTGGAACTTGTCAGCTGCTGTTGCCTTAGACCTCGTACATTTAAAACTGCTAACTTGAATTTTTTAAGCCTTTTTGTTAAAGGCTTTGTCCAAGTTACTTTTTAATGTAAGGCAGGTATTGTTTTCTGTTTGGAGTTGTAATGATATCTATGCATTAATGTATGCAAATGTTTTTCATAAGCAAATGTTTTTACATTTAGGCATAAGCACAGATTAATGTCCTGTGGGAACTGTTTTTGGGCCTTGAGTTACAACCCTGAGGACCACTGATGTGGTGCTTAAAGTGTGTTTCCTGACCTACCTGAGCATTGTTAGTTGGTTGCAGAGTTCTCAGCCACAATCTGGGAATTGTTTATGGCATCAGGAACCCTTTAAAGAATTCTTTGCTCTGTTACAGTTTGGGTACAAAATCCTTATGTATCTGAACATATCAGAGCTGTAATTAAACCTGCTCTGAGCTGTTGATCATTACCTGGGCCAGGCTGAATATACATTTTGCCTTTGCCAGCCTGAGAGGTCTGTTCCTGTGGCTGGCTGCTAGCAGCCACAGCGTCTTGCTTCCCTCTTTTCATAAGTCCTTTCCTAGGAAGGGAAATTTCTCCTGGGCCTTTGTAGTGGGAAGGTGAGAAATGATTGAAGCTGGTATTTTGAAATGCTTTTCACACTCGTACAATTAAACCTTCTTTCTGTTTTGTCTTTTAGCCTGACATGAGCAGCGTTGGTTCCTACTTCCCAGACAGCTCCTAAGGAGTGAAGTGTTGAGCTGCACTTTGGATCACAGACATCCAGACCTTCTGATGATGTTTCTGCAGGCCTGGCCCAAGGAAGAGGCTACAAAACCAAATTTTTGTCATCTTTTGTAAACTGTTACCACAAAAACTGACAAATAACATGCATAAGATACAAATAAGGAATGCTCTCTATCCCTTTGCTCATTTCTTCAGCTCTGCTTTCTGTTTTTGTGATGCCAAATGAGCCCCTTATTACCCCACAATATTTACTCTTGTGGCTCTTGGATGTTGATCGCTAGAGATTATTTTGCCTTAAGTCTTGCACCAGTGTCCTGCTACACAGCAATTTGTTTTGGCACTACATGTGCTGCACTCTATTTCCACACTCCTGCTTGAGTGCTGTTTCTGCTCTAGGTACACATAAGACCCCTTTGTATGTCCAGTACCAAAAACACAGTAGTTTACTTGCAACAAAATAATTTAAAAGTCCTCATCTGCTCTTTTGCCCTGACTTGTAGCTTTTCCCATGGGATGGTGATTCTGAAGTAATCAGCTTGGATAAAAACAGGTTTTTCAGTGTCAATCCAAGCACTTTTAACAACAGTGTGGGAGTCCCTGGACTAGTGTTCGACCTGGTGTCACCTGTGCTGCTTCTGAGGCACCTGCAGGAGGAAGCCCAAAAGGCACACTGTTGCCAGTGGGCTTAATTTGTCCTGCAGGAGTTCACCTCCTACAACAGGAAACTCTTAGAAATCAGCAAATCCCATTAGATTTGGACCACCTCATCTGGAGTTACCTTGGAGACAAAGGTTAAATAACACAGTTCTAAGCAGTGCTGCAGAGCAGGATCACAGGAACACACTTAAAACAGCTTTTTGCTTGTTAGAGTTGAATTAGCACTGCTGATCCCTGCTCCCCTGTGGGAACAATGTGTCCTGCATTTCTGGACAGGAGCTGGAACACAGCCACTGCCCACAGAGGGCAGGCTGATGGGCAGCAAGTCCAGTGCTTCTGTAGCACAGCACAGGATCCCAGCAAAGAGCTCAGGGGTGGGAGATGTCCCTTACACAAAGAAACCATGTTTGTGCCCAGATACAAATTATCCCAGAACTGCCCATGGGCTGATCGTAGCGAAACAGAGGTGATAATGCATGGGATTGTGCTGGAGGAAAGCTGCTTCCCTCCCTGCAGCCCCCTGTGGCTGTGGGGGGCTGTTCTCACTCCCTGGACACCTCCTGGAATACCTTACCCCCTGGAAACTTCCATACTAAACACCTACCCAGGAGCCAGCTAAAGGGCAGGTAGAAAAGACCCCAGGGTATTTCTGTGGCTCTGTGGAGCAGCAGCTGAAGCTGGGTTTTGGCAGCCCAGGGCAGCAGCTCGCCCTGCTGCAGCCACCCCAGGCACAGGGCTCAGCCTCCTGTACCCCTGGGCACTGCGCTGCCTGAACAGCATTCCTTAGGCAGGCCAAAAACCTAACATTGGGGCAAGGGGGGAGAAAACACAAACAAACTCAGACATTGCTCTCCACTGTAAATTTGTTTTTTTATAATTTTTTTTTTTTTAAATGATGGCTGTTGGAAGTTGCTCAAAGGTTTGGGCTGTCGCAGTCCCGGTGAGATGGCAGCGTACAGATGAGCCCGAGGTGCCATGTGGCTGTAGCATCCGTGGTGTATCCCACCACACCTCTGGTACACAGAGCAACACGGAGTAGCGTGGGGGTGTCTGATCAGTAGCTCTGATTTCGTTTGGTCCTTCGCACTCCTTCACTCATCATGAGACGTTAGCACATTTTGTCACTACAGTTCAAAGTTTCGCATCTATGAGCTTCTCGCTTACTTTGTAATATGTTGGTAATAGTTTATGTTCAAACACAATAAACAGCTTGGCTATGGAAATCAGTTATGGAGGACAAAATACAGTTTGAGACCACACGTTAATGCAGTCCTAGTGGGCTTCACCAGACGAATCTATGTGTCTATCCTGCTTCACCAGAGCAATATTTGAGCACTAATTAGCAATCCGGAATGCTAACGATCTCTCTGCTGCTTTGTTCCTCATTGTAATTAGGAATACTTTTAGCGTGTTTGTTGTCCCTGGGGGTTTTTTTCAGAGCTGACATTACAAAGCTCTACTTTTTCTATACTAAGTGGACATTCTGTGCATTGCACTTCCATTGCACTCAATAAAATTCAGTTATAGGCAGAGGGTTTAGGTTAATCACCTGTTCCCCATGGTGAGCGGGCAAAGCAAATCCTGTGCTAACATGGATGGCACTTCTGTACAGTGCTGGACTTCACCGTTACACTGCATTGGAAAAGACTTCCACTCTTACTGAACATGGTAAAAATATCAGCATCAACATGAAAATCAGAAGTTTGTGGTTAGGGCACCATGTCCTGAACCACTAACAACTATAAAAGGGACAAGCAGAAGCTACTGTTGTAGGAAGAGATCTGTGGAAAGTTAATAGCTGAAAGCTAGGTATTTTTCTTGCCTTTACCTGATTTTTATGGCTCTTTCATACGTGGTAAACTCATTCTACTGTGTGGCATGCTTCCTATGGTCCTTGCCAAATATTTGCCTGTGAAGAAGTAAGTGAAACAAAGCCTCAAAATCTGAAGGCATACAACGTTTGTAACATCTACAGGGGTTGGATTTAGTTTTATAAACAGGTCTAATTCTTACTGTACCTTGATTATTTCAGCAAAATATAATGAACGACTTCACTCCAAACAAACATTTCCATTCTCCTGAAACCCAACATACAAATTCCACAATCTAGTTACACATGCCACGGAACAACAACTCATCTTTTCCCAGCGTCTTAACGGGAAGAGTGCAGTCTGTCTATACACATTCTCGGTATTTCAGTAACCATTGTTTCCAGGGTTCTTGCTGGCGGCAGATTAACCCAACTTACATGACATTTAAATATTTCTTTCATGATTGGCTCCCAAAACAAAAAAACATGATTGGGGTTTTTTTTAGACCCAATTACTTTGTCTTCAGATTGTCCCAATCTAGGGCTTGATGTTGCCAGGTGTCTGGTTTGGCGCTTCTTGAGCTTCTGCTCCACATTCCGGTACCTCTTGGGGAGTGCTCGGTGGTTCCTTGTGCACTGTGCTGAGTGGCAGCATTGATTACTTATGAATGTACAAAACATCTGACCAGCAGGTATTGGAAAATTGTATCCAGGTAGATCCCTGGATTTTTTAATAAACTAAGATTTTTTAGAATGATTCAGCATCAGAATGTCTTCTGCTTATGACACTGAAATTGTTTTTGTTCATAGATTTCATGATCTTAATTAATTTATGAGACAGCTATTAAAAAAATGGTTCTGTTCAGAGGTGGTTTAGCTACACTGGAGAATGCTGGGTTTAACAGGGAGCACTGGTGCAGGGAACTGAAGGAAGTTTCCCAGATCAGTTGAAACCTGTCTTGAAGACTGGTGCTGGCAGAGTGAGCCGGTGGATGGCACCATGATCGGCAGGTGACCAAAGCAGTACAAAGGAAAGTGGCTCTACACCGCAAGGTTGCCTGCCTGTATTTTTTCCAGTTTTTCTGCTTATTTCCATCCCAGGGTGTCCAAAACTTGTAGGTCACTGAAGTAGTTTTGTTTGGTAGGCTTTTCAATGCATTTTTTTCCTCTTTTTTGTGTGTGTCCATAGTCCTTATCAGCTCAATGAGTTAAAATGTGCAGCAGGCTGTGTCATACCCATTCCTGGACAGGTCTTTTGTAGTACACAACATTTTGCTGCACCTCTTTGTTTTTAAACTGGAAGATTGTGTATACCAGGACAAGGATACACAGAGACAGGATGCAGGGGATGACCACTGCAATAGCATTGACAGTGCTGGGCATGTCATTTATTGTCACCATGATGTCCACGTCGTCATGCGGGAGGCGCCGGTCCTTGCTCCGCTCAACATCCTTCTGGTTACAGCCCATCCAGTCCTTGAGGATCGACCTGGGGTAGCCTGGCTCCACACTCAGCCTCTGGTTATCGAACTTCCAGTACTCCTTCCCTTTGTAAAAGTAGGTGTAAACTAGGAGACAAAACAGAGAGTATTTCTGGTTAATGAGCTTGTGGGAGGACATTAAAGGAGCCTAGCTAACCTGAAGATGGCCACTACCTAAGTCAATAAAACACATATATCCAGAGCATTCCCAAGCCATTGGAAAGTGCAGTTTTGGAGCTGGGATTTAAAGGAGAAGCCATAACCCTGGCTAGTGTGTTCAACATTGCCCATGGAACACCATTCCCCTTGGCCAAACAAGCTGGGAATTAAAAAAGAAAATCCTACTAACTTTAAAGGAAGGGTTCTGCAGTCAGTTACTTTTTACAAAGCATCTGTAAAGATGTGCTCATCATGACCAAGTGGTTAACGACATCTGCAGGGTGCCAGTGTGTGCCTGGGTGTGACAGTGTTTGGAAGAAGGTTTCTGTTCATTCAGTCTGAGGGAGCAAATGCAAAGTAAGATGAGACCTTTTGCCACAGAATCCCGAAGATTTGGCCTGTGTTAAGAAGCAGTGTTGTCCTGCTGCTAATAAAAGGGTGATGCTTTATGTTACACGTTGTTTAAAGCACCTCCCTCTCCCCAGATGACCCATTTTCTAATGACTCTCAAGTTACTAGAAAAAAAGAAAGAGCACAGGAGAAGGGAGCTGTGGTGAAAGTATTGGTCTCCTGCACTGTTCCCCAGCTTGGCTGGATCTCACTGCCATCCTCCAGCCTGATCTAGTCCTCCTCTCACACCACAGCTCCAGATTTGAACACAGCCTCAATGGCACAAGCCCCTTCTGTTGGCTCTTTCCCTAACTGGAGGAGGAGGAAATCTTCACATCAAAGAAAGGAGCCTCTGGAGCTCCAAGCCCCTACTCAGAGCGTAACTTCAAGATTAACTGCTTACATCAGACAGGTTGGAGCCTTTAGCAGAGAGCCAGAGCTCACTATAGGTAAATTAGGCAGAAATGTAAGTTCCAGCATCCCCAGAACCAGGGCCCAGGAAAAGTTGGGTAGGGTCTATTGTGGCAGAGAAAGTTCCATTCCCACAGACCTGGATTGTCGCAATGTGGTTTAGCAGCTAAGGAGGGGTGTGGGTTGGGATGAGGTTTAGGAAGGATCTCGGACTGCTGCTGCTCAAAGCCCAGGTGACTCAAGGACTTCTGAGACTTGATTCCTGGATCGAAAAATACTCAAAACACTCCACATCCAACCGCCCAGCTCCCAAACAGACCAGCTCTTCCCAACCTAACAGCTGTAATGACTGCAGACACATACAGCCTTCCTTGCTGATGAAAGCCCCCTGAGGAGCCTGAGGGATTCCTCTCCACACGGTGATGGGCTTTGGGTATCCCGGGTCCGTTGCTCTCTTGTCCTCGTTGTACCTCCAGTACCTGTCCCCTTTGAAGAAGTAGGTTTTGCCCACAGGCTCCCAGCGCAGTGCCGTGTCGATGCCCTCCCGGGGCAGGCAGCTCCCCAGCTCCACCAGGCTGTGAGGGTAGCCTGGCTCTGCCGTCACCTCCTTAAAAACCCAGTACTTATCTCCTAGAGGTGAGTGGGGACACAAAAAACAAACAGATTGGCCTGTTAGGAGTTGGATCGATATGAACCTAAACCAACCACAGTGAACCACGGCATGTTGAGTGCTTCCAGGCTTAATTGTAATCTGTGAAAAAGCTGCTCCTCCACTTCATTTAGAAACTGGAACCTTATTTCATCTGCTGCTCCTTAGCTCTTGCTTTGGGAGAGCTGTTGAATAGCCCTTTCCCAATTACCTTCTCATGCCAGTCATGATTCTAAGACTTGTCTCATCCAGTCCGCCGTCTTTTGCTCAGGCTGAGGTGTTGACCAGCCCAAGCTTCTCAGAAATTTCTGTTGCCTCTCCCTGAGCCTCTCAAATTTTAGTACAGTTTAGAAAGCTGAGGTACTGAAGCTGCAGACATAAATCAAGAAGCCCAAGTACTGTGGTTTTGTACTGGCCATGCTTTCCAGCCACCCTTCCTTGCTCACAATCTGCTCTCAAGTTACAGGATCCTGTTCAGGCACTGTCACCATACAAGGAGCTAAAAGTGGGCCCCAGCACGAGGTTGGTCATTTTGTCTCTTTAGGAGACAACTGTCCAGAAATGAGGTTTGGGAGTGCCCTGTACCTGGAGAGGCCTCAATGCCCTGACAAACGGTGTTCAAGGAGACAAGCAGGGGACTGACACTCCCTGGGAAATAGGAGCTGTTTCATGTTATCACATGAAAGCCAACTTCCCCTAATTGATATTAACTCTATACAGATATTGTCCTGGCAAGGCCAGCCCACACTGAACTGTATTTTAAAGATCAGTGGCTGCTTGGAGTGCCCCCTTGGAAAAGGGCAAGGGTGCAGCATACCTGTTTTCAACATTTTCATGCCATAAAAGCAGCCTGAGGTGAGGCAGGAGTGGTTGGCTCCTACTGAACTGTACTGTACCTTTGAAGAAAACGAATTTGCCATCAGAGCGCTCATAGGCTGCGTCGATCTTTGCAGGGAGGCCCTTCCAGAACTGCTCAATCTGCATGGGATACCCCTCCTGCACCCGATTGTTGCGCAGACGCCAGAACCAGCGATCCTGAGGAAACCAGAAGCCTCTTGAGACTGAGTACTTTTGTTCTTGCGGTCAGACCTGGCTGGGTCCAGCATCCACCACTGCTAATCCTTGCCTAGGCCTCACAACCATTACAGACACAAGTCCTGCTTCAGGTGACAGCTCCAACCCAGCCCAGCACTGTCTCCAGTGTGGGAAGTGCTGAGGGGGGAAGATGGCAGCCCAAAAGGGGAGATGGTGATTGATGGTGCTGTGAAAAAGGGTGGAAAGAAGGAGAGCAAAAAGGAGCAGGGGGGAAGCAAGCCCACAGCTGTAAGCATTGTGACCTCTCCATGTATTGTCACTGAGGTGTCACGCTTGTCCTGGTTCAGTTGAAGCTCAGCTCTCGGAGCCCAGGAGAGCCAGACAGCCTGAACATCACCTGGTGACTGTGCGAAACACACAAGGTTTAAAGGCACAAAGGAGTTATGAAATATCCGTTTAGATATTTGGTCATTAGTTAAAGCTGCAGTGGATGCTCAGGGATGAGCATGAGCAGGACAGAACCTTTGAGACTTCTCCCAGACACCATCCCAACCTTCAACTAGTTCAATTTCAGGAATCTTCTGAAATTGATGTGATTTGTCCATTTAATAACCTTCAATATGCCCCTTTCCACACTTCACACCCATTGGGCAGAGTGAAAGCTACTGGTATTTTGGGAATGGGATCGTGGATGTCCATATTCAAGGTACTCGAATGGGTTATTGAGCAAAGGGCTGTAGTTGACAAGAAAGGTTGACTCAAACTCCCCTAGGCTGAGTGTTCCCAAAGCCCCAGTTCCATGCATGTCACCTCTGAGACAATGAGGCTTGCTCCCAGAGAAGCTGTGGCTGCCCCATCCCTGAAAGTCTTTTGGACCAGCTTGGATGGGGTTTGGTCTAGTGGAAGGTGTCCCTGTCCATGGCATGGGGTGGAACAAGGTGGTCTTTAAGGTCCCTCCCAACCCAACCCAACCCACTCTAGGATTCTATGGTTACCCATGGTACTGGTACTGCTTCCTGGCTTTACAGGAGGCTCCTCTGAGGCTTGGTGGCATCTGAATTCTCTGCCAATGCACCCAGTTCACATTTTGGAGCATAGAACGCCTGGGCATTTTGTAAATCCCATCAGACACTATTTCCAAATATTACAGAGCCAATTTGCTCACACTTCTTTTCAATATTGCTCAGTCATCACCCTCAGAGAAACAGAGTTATTTTCACAGACATTTCAAATCTCTCTACCAAATACTTCTATTAACCTTTTCAGCAATAAAATGAAGGGAAGTCTCATGGGTAAGTGGGAATTCTTAGTACCTTGAAAACAAACATTTCTCCTCTAAACAGAGCCACAGTGTTAAAGTTGCCATCACAGATGTTCGGTTTGGAGCCAGGAAGAGCTGGCCTATCACCCAGAGGAGGACTGGGAGGTCGTGGCTGTCTCTCGTGTTTTCTTTCCGAAGTGGAGTGAATTCTGCGAACAGGAAGAGTTGGTAAAGGCCTGGTTGGCTCCAGGGGCTCTATAGGAGGACCTAGAAGTGAAAAGGAATATATTTAGCAAAGTGGACAAGATTGTTTCTGTAAACTTTAAAAGGTTCCAGGCTGCATGGACAGTACTGCCAGAGATTTTTGTACTCCTGATGCACAGCTCATTCCCTAGAAATGGGGTGCAGAACAAGATGCATCCACAAATGCAAACTATTCCAAAACTGACAAGTGATAAGAACTGAAGAAGAGACAGAATGTTTTTGTAGGTCTTCCCAGGGAGGCTGGAACTAAAAGGCAGGAGGAGCCACGCCAGTCAGGTTCCCAACTGAAATGAAAGGTAGTAACACTTGAATAGAAATGTTTAGTAGACCTTACAAAAAGGCAGCAAAACCCCTTGGAAACTAAAGCAAAACCAGAAAAAAAAAAGAAGTCAGGGTATGAGAACCAATGTTACATTGTAAGGGGAACTGCAGGGAGTACTTTATTAAACATCAGTGACCAATCTGTGCTTTCCCTGGCATACAGCTATGACCTTAAGGGACTTTATCCCACTCAAGTGATGCCCTCCCAGCACACCTCTCCCTTTCAATCCTTCCCCAATTCAGGGATCTGACAAGGGCAGGGAGATGTACAGAGAAATAAAAATACAAGTGAGTTAGACTGGAGCAGAGATCTTAAACTGCCTTTTGCCATAGGATGTTTTCATTGACTGTTAGTGGCAAATCTGGGCCAAATCTCACTCAGAGAGTCACATTTCTTGTGACTCTGCTTCTCAGAGTTAATATGGCAATAATCAGAAGGGATTTTGGTGGGCTTCAGATGTGAAGATGGTTTATTTACAGGGATTATGGTTTCAATTTCATTCTGAGCCTGTAGGATAAGCCCCCACCTGTGGGCAGAATGGAGGCTGCTGTCACGGGTGCTGTTTCAGTGTCACGGTTTGGGGCCAAGGCGCTGCACCCCAGCTGGAGGTGAACACTGGCCCTGGGCAAGGCTCATCATCACAGCCTGGAAGAGTCACCCCGAGCTGGGGACTTGCCCGTAGCCAGGGAAGGGATTTATCAGGAACGATTGAGGTACCCATGGAGGCTCACATCTGTGTGACTAGAAGAGGGTTTTTGCAGATAAACATTTTGAACTGTGCAATCTGAAATAATGGTTTGGTGCCTGAGTCCGCATTGCAGTTTTACTCTTAAATGTTCCGTTTTCAAAGGGTTCCTAAAATGGATGAGTGCTTAACATGTCCTGGAAGGGTGACCAGATTAGGAATATCCTCACAGCTAATGACAAAGAAGTCATCAGAGAAAGTCACCTCAATAATGGTTAATAAGGATGTAACAGTAAGAATCTCGTGTGCAAGTTTCATAGATATGATGTTCAGAAAGTACCACTTGAATGGTAAAGTCCAACTTCCTGCAGTCCCAGGCCAGAAACCTCCACCAGCAAGTCCTGCAATGAGCAGTGTTTCCATGGCAGATACAGATTTCAAGCATACAAAATCTTCTATAATGCATAGAAAACTGCTCTGATTAAGCCCTGTCACAGCTGAAGTCTGCCTTATGGACTGCCTGAGTTTGTGCAGCTTTAAATTCAGTGTTTTCTTTCTTATGTCTAGCGTCTCAAAATTTAATCATTTAAAGATCTTGATGAGAATGCTTTTAAAATTCTCCTTAATGAACGAAACAGAGCAGTTCCTTTGGTGTATTGTTGCAACGGCTTTTGGTTTTAAGATCTTGAGACTTACACCTCTTTCCTACAGCTTTTCAAACGGATAACTGTATTTCTTCAAGGCAACTGGTCTTCATAACGTGATACTTTGTGCCACATGCAGTTATAACTAACTATTTTTATTTACTTTATTCCAGAGCTTTAATGAAAAACTTACAGAAATACTTTATGATGAGTTTCTGATGATTATTACCCTTGGAAAGCTGTCTACATGAAACAGATACAAATAGTATACTGACACTGTGTATTTCTCATCCCCTCCAATCTTATGGGGTAGTGCCCAGTATTTTAGCTGACCATAAAATTTCCAATACTGCTACTACTAGAGACCTGTGGATTTTCCCCAAATGGAATGAAGCTGAAGTCTCCAGACAGTGCCTGTGACTGGAGCAGCAGGGCTGGACCAGGCAGGCTGGGCACATCCACAGCAGTGCTACAGGGCAGCTCAGGAGGTGCTTCTGGAGACATGCCCAATCCTCTGCAGTTGTTGCGCTTTTAGTCACACTTCAGTCCATTAAATACACCCTTTTTGGACCTAACTTGAAGATGCATTTCTGGAGTGCATCCAGGATGCTGCAGCTGCAAACAGGCACCACAGGGCACGGCAAGAGCTGACCCACAAAACCACCTCTTTCCTCAGAATATATACAATGTGGGTGTCTCACCATCCCTGAATGCAGCTGGATCTCCACATGTGCTGCTGCTGTTCCAGCTGGCAGCCACTGACGCCACACGACCTTCCTGTGGTGTGAAGCAAAAGCACCTCCACAAGGGCAGCAGGCCAGCTGGATGTCTGGCACAGGTTGGAAAAGCTCCTGGAGGCAGGGCTCGATACAGTGGGACATGCACAGGAAGGGCTGGGGCTTGGGAAAGAGGCCCCAGACAGACCCTGCACAAGGACAACAGGGTTCTGGTTTGTTCACATGCAAGTGCTCAGCTCCTGCCTGTGACAACTGCAGGAGCAGGCAGTTCACAACCAGATCTGGATGTCAAAAATGGCACTTGGTGCCAATAAGAGAACTCAAGCAAATGAAGTCTGAAACCCAACAATTCAGATGCTTAGTGAAGATGAAAATGCTTGCATTGGGAAAAAGAAGTCTACTGGGACCTAAGCAAGGGGACAATAATCTGTGATTTACTGAGAACTGCAGACACTCATTAAACAGCAGCATGACCCCTTCCCTCCTGTGCTGCCTTCTCCATGGCTTTGAGTGGATGTGGCTGGTAAGTAACACTGGAAAATCTCTAATACCTGTCTTACCTGATACGATTCCCCTGTCAACAGCCTGGCACAAGGGTAAGCTATAGCCCATTGCCACAGAAACACAACGGAGGTGTAGTTTGCTGTACCCCCCACTTTGCAAGGGGCAAATTCTGCCATGCACTGACCAAACCAGACATGACCACGAGCAGTAAGATGAGGACATGATGTTAATTCCTTCTCCCTCTCTTTTAACAGAAAAAAGGGTGAGGCAGGAGTAGAACCTAAACAAATAAAAGATGAAAGTGTCTGACAAAGACCCATTGGATGCAGAGAATCTGACACACAGAGAACCTCACCATAAGGTACAGAATAGGGACTGTAGCGTTATGCTTACAGGATGGAAATTTAACACCTCCATGACTGGAGTCACTAATTCACTGTCTCTGCACAAGTGAGGACCACTCATGCACCCAGTCACAGCCTGCCCTGCCCGGTACAGGCAGCCCTGTACAGCTCCCCTGTTCACCTTCAGTGCCCATGGCCTGTCACAGTCATCCATGGAGAAGAGGAAAGTTCAAACAACACCTTCAATCCAGGGCACCAATGTAAAAGTTTTAATTAGCCCTAAAACACCACTGAAGCAGCCCACATAGAACTGGCATGGCAGAGGCAGTTGTACACACCATGGTCAAGGTGGTGCCAAGCAGACAGGATTCAGATTAACCATGGCCAAACCAGAGCTGGCCATGGCCAAACCAGCCCTGGCAAGGCTCCCACACATGCTGCAGGTGGTCTGCAACCTACTTGGATGCAGACTTTGTAATTTCACTTCTAATATTCCTCTTATTGTCTTTCCCTGCTAGCCACAGAGGTTTCCTTGCTACCTTTCACTCATTTTTTTGTTTTTATAACCCAGGCCTTCTAATTTATTCTGATTGAAGGTCTGTCTCCTCCCATACTTACACAGACTGCCTTTTCATTTTTCGTTGCTGCCTCCACTTAGTCCCCGAGTGTGGCATAAGGTGGGAGGTGATCCTACAGCTGTGCACATCCAAAGAGCAGAGGAACACACTGAAAACATGGAAATCCTCAGGTCCAAGTGCTACTCAGGCAGAATTTGGCATACAGATATAGGGATGGGAAGCAGAAGCAAGCCTGTCCATTGGTGGAGAAAGATGCTCCCTTATAAGACCTAAGGCACTGCAGAGTCCAACCTGGCACAAAAGGAGGATGAGCATACCCCATTCATTAGGAAAGCTCACCAGTCATTCATATTTCCAGACTCCCATCACAGTAACCTGCCTCCAAAACAGCTCAAGGTAGGATGGAACAGGTTTACCAGCAGCAGAGAAGAGTGTGTGAGTCACTTAAGAGGTGCTGGCACTGTCTTATTTAATACTGAGACTGATCACATCCACCAGTGTGACCCGGCAACAGCACACACAAACCACATCCTCTGCCACTACACTTCCAAGCAACTTCAGAAAATCAGACAAGGGAAAAATATCTAAATAGAAAAATCTAAGTGAGAGAGGTTATTGCATGGGTCTGCAAACAGGCCTGAACACAGTCACCTAGTTATTATGTGTGATTCCAGCACCAGAGCCAAGTCCACCCATGGGACTGATCCTGCAGCCACTTCCACAGGGGAAGCAGGTAAGAAATTTCCTGGAGCTGGAAACTCTACATTCTGGAGGAAAGCAGCTTGCTGGGACTTTACAGACTGTGTGGAGAAGAAGAGTTTATTCCTGTCTATCAGAAGCAAGGCAAAGAATGTCAGAAAGCTTTTGGGTCACAGCAGATCACCTTTAGATTGTGACTTCCACCACTGGCACTTAGCCTCCTCCCTTCATGTTTCCTCTGTCGAAGACCATCTGAATATCAAGGTGACCTGTGAAGATAACACAGAGAGAGGAGGCATTTAGGAGCCACTGTGTCGATAGTTGAGGACAAAATTTAATTGTACTGTCCTCCGGGCTATTGACAGAGTGTTCCCTCAACTGCACAACACCTGCCTGGAGGCTCAGCACCTTCCTGGCTCAGCCTGTCCTAGGCAGCGGCTTCCAGAGTCTGCCAGCACAGAGAAGGCTTTGGGTCAGCTCAGGAGAGAGA